ATTGGGTCAACTAAATTAACCAAATCTGCCAAACTCAACTTAATAGTATTGCTATTAGTAGGTATGGCTACTAGTATTATCAGTCTCAGCATTGCTATACTACTCTTATCAGTAGTTTCCTAGTCCTCATAGTCTAAAACATGGTACAATTTAACACAGATTTTAGTAGATAGAGGTGAGAGTGTGGAAATCAAGGTCAACCATTTGCTCCGGGCCCAAACATGTATTATTCGTAATGGCCGAAATCCAGGTTCACACTCCTAGTTGACATAGAACGGACATAAGCCTCAGCCTTGACCCAAATCAGCATCAACTCTGATTTATAATAGCGACAGATATACTAATAGTATCACAACCAGTCTGCTAAATTGCTAGTTAATAGCAGCATAAGAAGACGGTACCCTGGGATTTTGCTTTGTCTATTGCAAGCTAGGTGTTTTAGTGGGCCCGCAGCTAGCCTATAGACGGCCACCGGCACTACGTTATGACATAAAGACGTGGTAAAACTTATGCTACCATTTAATAACGCTTTATTTTAACCCATAAGCTATTTCTTTTTACCTCATACAAATTGGGAGTGCATACTTGGTTTCGACTTCCCAAAAGTACACCTAGGTCGTATTATAATATACTATTTAGTGGCGTGTTTGAACGAGCAAGTATTTGCTTACAGGCAAACTACACAGCAACTGCTGCGAGGCTGACTTCTTCCAGGGCAGGCAACTGATAACGTGTAAACAGGGGTGACTCGCTGTTATCGCCTATACGCAGCAAGTGGTGCCACAGCTTCGCCCTTAATAATGAACTTAATCGTCCTGCAACTTTGCACAAAGGAGTTTCTATTACCTTATTTTACCGCTCCCCCTCCCACTGACCTTTTAGTCACCAGAATACCACTTAATGGGATATTCTGTGCCGTCTTCTTCTTAGTCTTTGGCTCTTCGTGAAATGCTACCTGACTCCTTTTTACCGGGAACTTGGACACAACTAATCTGTCAGCAATTCTTCACTGAATAGCCTTCACATTTTATTCTCCGTAATCTTCGAGTCATAGTCTTCAGAATAAGTGCAAACTTTCGCTTGACAATCTATTTCGATCTCCCGCATTAGTCGTCGCGAAACCGATTT